AAGAAGGTGAAAGCAAATGATTTTCACAAAATTTGCAGAAAGTCTTGGTAGGCAAAAGCTTGAGAACAGAAGTAGATTCTCAGTTATTCTCCATACTTTATTACAGGCACAGGAGACCATGCATTCGAGCGAAGGTTGCGTCTCGGGGGACCTCTTCTGAAAGAAAACATAGCAACCATGGTGCTAGAGAGGTCAAATCGAATATCACTCAACACTATATCTCGTTAAAGACTTTTGATTTCGATCGAGTATTGTGGGTCTTAGTAAATCTTTCTATTTCACAGCCCTTTCTATGGAAGAAGACGTCCAAACCTGCAAAGAGGGGCAAAACTGTTATGTGTTAGTGACTTGCTCTTATTAGGACGAGCTACGATTGAAGAGGCGCGTAGTCTATTGTATTGGCTGGACACTGAGGCAGGCTATGGAAAAATGGGTGTATGTGGGCTAAGCATGGGTATAGACTCGAATCTAAAGGCTTGAAAACTGATATAATGAAGTTTCTAGTGGATGTTTCATAAAAAGAAATTAAAAAAAAAAAGAATTCGTAATTTTATATATATTTTTTTTTTCAGGCGGAGTACATGCGGCTATGGTGGGGTCCCTACACCCCACGCCTATTGCCACTCTCCCTTTTCTATCTCCACACTCGGCTGTGGTGGCTTTCTGTGAGGGGATTCTAAAGCATGCCACCGCATGGGAAGCTCTCAAAGAGGATCTTGCCGTACAGAAAGCAGCTGCCATGACACTCGAGGAAGTTAGAGAACGAATGCGAAACGTGTTGTCACTAACCGATGTCACACGTTTTCCCATACCCAAGAACCCGAATGCTGTTATATTCGTTGCTGCCACTGTAAGTAGTGATATTAAAGATTGGATTTTTAATTCATTTCGAGACATTTAGATCTTTAGTGGTTATTAGTATTAGACATGATTGAGTTGGGTGCGTGTAAAGTTAATGTTGCGATCTTTTTCATCGACTAAAATGCGTCAAAATATTGGGAGGCCACCCGGTTATCAAAACATCGAAACAGCATAATAAAATGTGGCACACTACTTTTCGTTTGCGTTTGAACTAAATTTTGATTTAGAAGTTTTTTTTTCCTTATTTTTGTTCCAGGATGACGGCTACATCCCCAAACACTCGGTTTTGGAGCTTCAAAAAGCCTGGCCTGGTTCAGAAGTAAGGTGGGTTTCAGGTGGCCATGTTTCGTCATTCCTTCTTCACAATGGGGCCTTCAGAAAAGCCATTGTTGATGGACTCGATCGCTTACCGTGGAAAGAACCTCCACTGTGATTGATTCTCTATCATAATAAAAAGATTGACAACTGCAATATATATGTACGGTAACTTCACATTTGTATGCTTAACAGTTAGTTTAATCGTGACAACACCCAGCAGATTGAATGTGCAAGAAAACGGGTGTGTTTTGTAGCTCTCGACATCTAATTTGTTGGTCAAATGAGAATAACCGTATTCTGAAACACGGAAAAAAGCAATTGGCTTATCAAATTCTTTGGTGAAAAAAATAGTTCAGTTATGAAAATTGTTCATGTTGATACCAGTCCTTGATGGCGTTTGATTGAGAAGAACATGAGTCGAAATCGTACTTGAACTCGATATTATATGTTGTTATACACATTTTATCATCTTATGTGAATCAAATTGGTCTCGATAAATCAATTCGATTATCGGTGGATTGAGGTTCTTTAACATGTATGATGATTGGTTTTTTATAGATGATAAAGTAGGATTAGTGTTTGAATGTGCCAAAATACTCCAGGTTGAAAACAGAGCTCTTCTCAGGTATATATATTGATTTTGCGCCAAGTTCGTTGGATGGTAATTAGGGCTTGGGCCTGTCATCCTACCCATGTCATGGTATGGACTACTTCTCTAGTGACAAAACAATAACGGGCCGGGCCAGAATTGTAACTAGAGGTTTCAAACATCTGAAAGTAACAAAAATGTCCTGGCCCACAGGCTCGTTCCGCTACTTGAACTTTGTTGAATGACCCATTTAGCAACCAGGTCTAGCCCACCAAATATCACAAAGCCAACATGGTTGTGTTTAAAAAAAAAAAAACATGCCTGTGCTTATTTAAATGTATGATAGATTGAAAATTGAATTTTTAATTTGTTCTCATTTTACCTTGGTTACCTTTGACCTGTAATATCCATAAAAAGACAGGAAATTAATTAAAGAAAAGTAAGCTATTTATAAGTATAGATACTTATATAACTCTGGAAAATGGTAACACTCTTATGATATCATCAAGCTAGAAAATATACATATGTCTAGCTAATTAAGGGCCCTTAATTGTTGTTATTCCTGACGAGGACGGGTCAACCAGAGGGAGCTGAGGGCTCGGAGGCGGTTGAAGTATTCTCCAATGGCCAAGAAACACCGCGCCGCCTGGCGGGTCGTCAGAATCTGGTTCAACCGGTGAAGGCTTTGGTGCCTCAGGTGATCACCCTATAAGCCAAATCATTTAATTTTAAGTTAGTATATATATACATATATATCTCAAATTAATATGTAATTCAAATTAAGCTAAAACTATTACAACTTATTACCATGCAAACATACATCTTGCCTTATCAAAAGGTTTTGCTTATTCAACTACATTATCCAATTTGTCCTCCTACATTGACAAGAAAAAGTTAGGGCTCCTATATACCCTTGAATTTCATGTAATTCTTGATTTGATGCTGATAGATTGAAGAATTGTAGGTTGTATTGGTTTTCTAGCCATTGCTTCTAGAAACTCGAGCGAAAAGATTGAAGCTGACTCACAATCAGCATCAGTTACGGTTACAGTCATCATCAAGAGACACGTTGAACATGCATATAAACGTTCCAAATTTGAAAGGCAGAAATTAAATATGCCCACCCAACGGTGTAAAAAGGAGTAGAAAGTCATGGAAAACGACAACTTCATTAACCATCTCTTTAAATATACATTGTTGAATATAATGCTTGGCACTAAGCACTAATTTGAATAATTCTGAGTTTTGTAAATGAATATACTTGTTAATATTTTATTTATTATGTCTCGCTCCAAGAAAGATATTAAGAGCTCAAAAATCAAGGTGGTGGGTGGTCAATTTCGTGGGGTCAAGGTCAAACAATTATGAAAGTGACAAAATATGGGGCCAAATGTTACAGATGTCTTTGTCTCAATCTCTTCTTAGTACCTTCTCCTATATTAAAAAATTCATGCACGTATATTTTGAAAATTTTATCATTTGAACATCTTACCTTGATTATTTTACCATCAATTAAGAATCCTATAAAAAAAATCTACTGACATGCCAAATAAATTGTATTTCCATTCATCTTCTGGATTACTGACACGTATCCATAATAATGTCACAACTATATATATATTTCCAAATGAAACGAAATATAAATTGTTAAAATCTTTTCACGTGAAATACTTGAGAAAATTAATCAAAGGAAGTGCAAATTAACACCAAACATCACATTAGCAAACGATGCATGCATGCACACACATATAAAAACAGTTAAAATTAATAATTATGAGGATACTTTGTCTACTTATAAACATCTAAGTATCTAACAGTACAATGGAATGCATACGAAGCTTAAACTAAATAAAAAGAATGAAATTAAAGTACCTGTCGAACGAAGCCTTCGAGGGTCGAAAGCTTGTTGACAGCTAGAGCCATGTGGGCCATATAGTTGTTCATGTTCGACGGGACATTGTTGTTAAGAGAGTCAGCTATTATGGTTTGAGTGAGTGTTTGAGTGAGAGCTTCGAGTCCTTGTGAAAGTGCTTCTTCTGCTTCCTGTGTGGTCTGCTGCAGGTCGCAAATCCCCGCCATTTGTTGCTCGGTTAGCAGCTCCATTTCCTTCAAGATTATCTGATTTCCGAACGGATATTATATGATGTAATCCGTATGGTTAATCGTACACCAAATTTATGCAAGCTTTCGAAAATTTATTAAATTATATGTATTGATCCGCATTGGAAAATTCTCGGATAAATGTATACCGGTTTGAGATTTTCGAATATTGGTCCAGACTCTAGGACGGTGATATCGAAAAAAAAAAAAAAATGAAATTAGAAAGGAAATTGCTAAATCTTTGATGTAATTTGCATATAATGGGTTGATATAATTTGTATATAAACTAAAACTTTGATATAATTTGTGTTGATGTTGGTTGACATCAGACCTTTTACTGTCTCGTTATATTGCTATCGTTCAAAAAAGAATAAAAATAATAATGGGTTTAGGTTAATTTTTTTTCTTTAAATTCATCGAACCTTAATGATCTCGGATGGCCGGAAACCGCCCATCCACAGGAAGCACCGCTCGGCCGGAGTTTTCCACATGCCGGAAAACAGGTGGAAGACGTCGGATTTCGCGATCATGCTCTTGAGGGTCATAACCTGTTCGTAGTGGGCCAGCAAGTGATCCACTAGGACACGAAGCTCGTTTTCCGGCAAGTGTTCCTGCAATGCTCGCCGGAGCTCGGCCATCAGCCGGTGGTGTTCCTCTAGCCACCGGGCATACTCCATGTCAAACAGAGCGGCATCTGAGTGGTGGACACATGAATTAAGTCGTCATTATTATATTAATTAAGCCTATTTAGTTTAATTAGAGGTTGAGCTATTGAAATTTGATTATTAGAAAGTTGTCTACATAGAAATTACATAATATACTTAATAGTGACAGAAACGGGGAAAAACAAACGGGTGGGGGCCCACTAATATGAAGCCCATGAACGAGAAAAGTCCATATGAAGCTTAAGTGGGTTCCATCTTAAAATCAATTGATAGAAAGAGGAGTAATCTATTAGACTTATAAGGTGAGTCTATTTTTTTAATGTATGAACGATGTGGGACAAATCACAAGTGATATTAGAAAAAGATTCCTTGTTCAAATTAATTAATATGTATGCATGTTATATTTACATAGAATTATAGTGGGAATTTGTAGTTTCAAAAGACAAAAATGAATGTTGGTAAAACTATTTGATTAGTTGTATTAAAAGAAGCTATAAATTAAATTTATTTACCTGAAGTTAGGTTGCCCATAGCCAAAGGAGCACTGTGATCTCCAGCTACTCCAAGATAAAATCCCTAGCCAAAAAAAAAGTTAGTGCAGATTAATTATAATAGTGATTTTTTTTTTTTATTAATCAGCCAGGCTATTGTTTCTGCATATTTTTAAAATAAAATGTCATACTAGAAAACAATATAAGCAAAAGTACAACGTTCATAGCATAAAATTAATTTGCATTTTTTGTTAAAATCGACTGGTTAAACGTTAACCTGGGATCTTGCTCTTTGTATCTCCTGCTCCAACTGAGCTAGCCTCAATCGACTCGATTCTAGCTGCTGAACATAAGCCTGCAAAGTTCAAATATATAAACTAAGAACTGATCATGATCAATCAATAATAAGGAATAAGAAATTTAAGTAAATTAACATGAAATTATTGTTATTACACAAATTTTATGGGAAAATAAAATTAAAGCATGCACTTGCCTTTTTCCTAAGCCTGCTTTTCTTAGCAGCCTCTCTATTCTGAGCAAGCCTCCTCAATGTCTGAACATAAGTAAAATAAATAACTGTGTAATTATGTAAGGGGGTTTCAAAATCAAATTAAGATAAAATAAATAAATAAATAACCTTAGGGTCTGGAGTTTTTGGTCCATCTTGTTCTGAACTTGAGGTTGGCCCCTTTCTATTTCCCTGCCATTATTAATTGCAAAATAATAGAAATATAAAAGATACTTAATAAAATCGCCAATTAATTAATTTACCACATAATCTCCAATATATTTTAACAAATAAATTGCTTATTATATTAATTAATAAAGTGTAATAGTTTTGTATGCTGACCTTAACTGCTTTGTCTTGGTCAGGAACAGAAGCATTAATGGCGTTGGATCTAGGGTTTGATAAACCCATGGACGGCTCGGATTGTCCCTTGGAGCCAGTGGCACTTGCTGGGGAAACTAATCCAGTATTTGCCTACCAAAACATGGACAAAATTAAATAACAAACCCACTAGGCATTAGTTAGCTTTAGAAAAATCATAATTTCATGATCATTAATTCATAATATTCTAAATTAAATCAAGGATTGAAATTAAAAAGTTTGATTTTTTTATTTTTTTTGGGTAATAAAAGATTCGTACCCTTGATGATGGCTCAACAACATGCATGGGCTCAGAAGGGAAGATGTTGAGTGTGTGTTGTGGCCTCATAGCACCCAAATTCTCTGAACAAAATAACATAGAAAATGTTACAAAAAAAATATAAGGAAATTAGGATCATAAATGAATTAAAGAGTTTTACAGATAATTTTTATTTTTCCATTGTCTCTCACAGTACAAATTAAACCATTTTTAAAGCATGTGCTTTAGAGAGAGAGAGAGAGAGAAAAAAAAAGGAACTTTGCAAGACTTTCATGTCAATGGGAAGTTTGTTACATGTCTGTCCAAAATTTACATAACACAAAAATCCATTTTTTTGTTACAGAGGGAAAAAAAGGAGTACAGATAAAAAGATAATATATGTTTTAACCCTTGCAATTAAACTGAAAAAAAAAAGATCTCTTTTTACTCATGGGAGGATCAGGTCAAACAAAGTACAATCTCTGATTTTTATCTCCCCCAAGCATACTTTCCTCATGACTCTTGTTTTTTCTCTAAAACCAAAAAAAAAAGAAAAGGAAGAAAAGAAAAAGAAAATCAAGAATCCCTACAGAGAATCTCAAAACAATTTTGAAAAGTTTTTCATAATTTCCAGCACAAAATTCAAAATATAAATTAAATATTAAATAAATACATGTACAATCTTGAAATTCGTATAGCTATTTTAGATGGTGAGCTAGCTAATTAACTGAAACTTGAACTTAATTCGAAAATTAAGAGAGAGAAAAGATTTTTAAATAAATTATGTGATCATAATTAATCAAAATTAGTTACCTCTTTGATCTTGAGTTGACTGATCTTGACCCTCCAAGTACATAAAAAGAGCTTGATCTAACTCACCAAGATCATAAGCACCTCCATCTTTGTTTGATCTTAAGCAAACAAAAAATAATATATTGTCCCAAAAGAAAAATAAGTTAAAACTTTCCCCCAAAAAAAATAAAAATAAAATTAAAAATTGAGCTCTAGTAAAGGAATTTCTAATTAAAAGGAAAAATTAAGGTTAAGATATATATAACTCTCTTACATGGAGTTGAAGCTTCCATGGGCAACTGATGTGGACGATGGAGATGAGAAAGATAATATAAGGTCATGAAAGCTTTGATTTTGATTATGATGATGATGTTCTTCTTGGTGTGAGAATATTTGGGTAGAGTAGGGTTCATATTTTGTGCTCTTGTTAGAAGCCATGGTAGTTTTTTGAGAAATATTCTGAAAAAGCAAAGTTCAGTTGCAAAAATTGTAGGCTATATACTGCTTTATATATATATATATATAATTTGAGACTGAAATGTGAAACCTAGCCATTTGTTTATTCGTTCATATTTATTTTTGTGTAAGACAATGAAAAATGAAATAAAATAAAATGAATTGAATGACTTGGTTATGGGAGTAAATTGGAGGGGAGCGGATTTGATGGAGGAGCTATACAAAATAGGGAAAAGACAAAGTCTATCTTAAGGTTATGAAGGCAACTTTTTAATTATGTTAGATTAAAGAAAATCAAATGTTAATTCTTTTTTTTTTTTTTNTTTTGGAGGTTGGAGTGATTGATAAAGCGGTTCCATACAAAGAAGTTTGGTTCCATCTCTAAATGCATTATGCACATAAATAATAAATATGAAGTTCTCTATGTAAAAAGGCTTGGAGTGAAATTAATTTGATCAAAGAGCTTTGGTGAAATTAAAAATAAAGAAAAACTATACGACTTGTTTGTTATCAGATAAATATTTAATTTGTAAATTTGCTAATTGATTTATATAGGAGTAGTAAATAACTTATTTGATTAGTGTTTTAAATCCAAAACGCTAATTACAATAATCTTAATTAAACAACATTTTGAATTGCGAGGATTCGTGAATAACAATGGAATATAAACTTTTCACAAAAAGTTATATCAAATAACTATTACCAAATATTACATTTGATCAAATTAATTATTACAATCAGTTATTCACTAATACGTTCACTGATACAAGTGTCTTAAGTTATTTAATTTAAGACGTTTTCTTTTTCAATTTCTATAAATGTGACTAATTGCAGTTGCATACACATAAGAGAGAATATATACCTTCCCCTGTGAGATAATGTGCCTATTAAATTTGAAAAATAATTTTGCTCAATGATTGGTATATATTTAAATACAAATTATTTTAAAGCTGCGGGTCACTGTCTGAAGAATTAATGTTAATTAAGACATAGTAAATCAGGCAGAAATGCTATAAAAAACAAAAGAAAGGTGCTATAATTTAAAAACATGCAAAATTTAATTAATTTGTCATAGCCCCACTTCAAGTTTAAGACTATGTTAAATAAAAATACAAGCTAGAGAGAAGTTGATAATTTGGATTAGGTAAATCAGCAGCTATCACAGACTCACCATCAATTTACTTATTTAAATTCCTTGATTCTGTTTTGATTGCTCATCATTATCAGTTTTTAGTTTATAAGTTTATACAACCTGAATAAACTTGGCAAATTCGGCCCAATAATTTGTGTTTGTGCGACTTATTTAATTATACTTATGATAATACTATAAATTAATCCAATAAAAATTAGTCATTTGATGAATATTCATGTTAAAAAAAAAGAAAGAATAATCATGGTTGATTCAGATTTTTGTCTGACTTAATTGAGTTTTGTTGAAAATTATTAGTATTACTGTTTGCTTCTAAAAGATGCTTTATCATTGTTCGAAATAACTTCCAATAGTCAACAGAAAACAACTTCCTAATGGAGTTGTAATGTATTAGTTCAAAGTTCATTAATACATTATAGTAGTTGACACATCCAATAAATAACAAAATTCGCATATAAAATGAAAAAATGGTATGTATTTTGAGTATATTTTAAGAAATGGGGTAGTCTTTCTGTTAGACCGACATACACTTTTGTTGAAGCTCAAGAAATTACAAAAATGATAAACTGATTTTATTGATGTGGAAGGAGAGATTACATTTACATATATACAAAACCCTTAGCTCACTTAATGAGCAATTATGAGCTGTTACCAGCTAACTTGATTAAATCTGACTAACTGCGTAATTATTACTAATTACCTAACTAACCCTAACTGATTGTAACTAAGTAATACCACTAATATACCCCCTTGAAACCGAGCGAGGGTCTGAGACGGTTTTGGCACGAAGTGGAAGCTGAGAACAGAGCAAATGAAAGCAGCCAGGAGATAGAGGCTTGGTCAATAAGTCAACAAGCTGCAAATTGGAGGGAACATATCTGACTTCAACAAGCTTGGCAGCCACATTCTCCCTAACAAAATGGACATATCTGAGAAGATGCTTACATGCAAGCCAATGATTTAAAGTTGGAGCATGCAAAAATTGACTCAGCTTATTGACAACCAAGGAAATATCAGGCCTTGACATAGTAAGATACTGGAGAGCACCAATGACACTTCTGTAAAGAGTATGATTGTAAAAAGGATCACTATCATTATGATGAAGCTTCTGCGATGGGGAGAGTGGAGTAGAAACTGGCTTGCTGTAAACCATCCCAGTTTTGACTAAAATGTCTGAAGCATACTTGGCCTGATTAAGAACATAACCCTCAGAGGTTTTTAGAGCCTCAAACCCAAGAAAGTGATTAACTTCTCCCATGGTTTTTAAAGCAAACTTCTTGCCAAGAGTAGCAATCAATTGTTGTACTGCATTGAAGTCATCCCCAGTTATAAGAATGTCATCCACATATATTAAGATGAGTAGCAAGGCACTATTGACTCTTTTGAAAAATAATGATGAATCAGACACAGATTCTTGAAAATCTAAGGTGAGTAAAAAACTTCTTATTTTGTGAAACCAAGCCCTTGGAGCTTGTTTAAGACCATATAGAGATTTTGTAAGTTTATACACAGCATGAGGATGATCTGAATCTTCAAAACCCTCAGGTTGAGCCATAAAGACAGTTTCATGCAAGTCTCCATTCAAAAATGCATTGTTGATATCTATTTGCTGAATAGACCAAGAATTAGTAGCTGCAAGAGAGAATATAAACCTGATAGTACAAGCCTTAACAACAGGACTGAAAGTCTCAAGAAAGTCGACACCAACCATTTGCTCAAAACCCCTGGCTACCAATCTAGCCTTAAATTTTTCAACTGAACCATTCAGTTTGTATTTGGTTCTAAACACCCATTTGTTTGAGATAATCTTCATATCAGGAGTAGGATCAACTAAAACCCATGTGTTGTTAGCTTGCAAGGCCTGAAACTCATCCCTTATAGCTGCAAACCACTCAGGCTTTGAAAGAGCATCAGTTGTGGAAGTAAGCTCTAAGAGAGGAATATGTGTGAGCTGGGCAGAGAAAGATTTTGGTTTGAAAATCCAAGCCTTAGATCTAGTAACCATGGGATGAGAAGACTTAAAGGGAGAAACAGAAGAAGTAGGCATATGAGAAATAGATGTAGGAGAATTTGAAGAAGATGAAGCCATAGGTAATTGCACAACCAAAGGAATAGCAGGAAGGGAAGAAGAAGAAGATAAGTCTGTACAAGAGATAGGTGAAGTGGGGTGAGAAGCCAAAGGAGCATTTTGTCAAGAGTTATGAGGTGTATGTTGTGAAGAGTAATGAGGTATATGTTGTGAAGAAATATGAGATGTAGGCTATGAACAAATATGAGGTGCAGGTTGAGAAGGAAGAACAACAGGCATAGAAGAAGGTGATAAAGGACCAGATGCAGGAAAATGTGAAGGTGAAGGAACAAAAGGGGACTGAAAAGGAAACTCATTGTCATTAAAAGAGACAGTGATGGCGATATAAGATCTGCCCTCAGGACTAAGGCATTTGTATCCTTTATGATGAAGACTGTAGCCAAGAAAAATGCACTTAGATGTTCTGTATTGGAATTTATGTGAGCTATAAGGCCTGAGATATAGAAAACAAGCACAACCAAATGATTTAAGAAAGAAAGATCTAGAGAAGAGTGAAACAACATTTAATAAGGAGAAGATTGTTTAAGCACAGGAGTAGGGAGTCTGTTGATTGTATAAACAACAGTGTTGAAAGCATCTCACCAATATTTGAGAGGAATCTTGGCATGAGCTAAAAGAGAGAGCCCCATTTCTACAATGTGAAGATGTTTTCTCCCAGCTTTGCCATTTTGCTGGTGAGTATGGGGACATGGGTGTCTGAAACTAATGCCAAGAGAATTTAAAAATGGAACAAGGGATCTATACTCACCACCCCAGTCAGATTGAACACAGTGAATAGAAGCGTTAAATTGACTGTGAACAAACTGTTTAAAGATGGGAGCTACATCAGCTTTTGTCTTCAAAGGAAAAATCCAAGTGTATCTGGTGAAGTCATCAGTTATGAGAACATAATATTTGTAACCATCAACAGACATAACATGAGAAGGCCCCCAAACATCAGTGTGCACAAGTTCAAAAGGCTTAGAGGTTTTAGTGGGCTGAGACATGAAATGTTTTTTATGTAACTTGCCCAATTTACAATCATCACAGAAGGGCAAAGAAGAGGGTACAGAGATATGAAGGTTATGCATAACAGTTCTAAACACATTCTCACAAGGATGGCCAAGCCTTCTGTGCCAGCTCATTAACATAGTATCAGTAGCAGCACGAAAGGCTTAATTACAAGACAAAAGGGAAGAAGAAAAATGCTGAGATGGAAGATGATGAAGCAAGGCAGCATGCTGAGAAAAATCCAGTTGATAGAGACCATCTTTAAGCACTCCTTCCAGTAACACTTGTTGAGTTGTCTTGTCCTTCACAAGACAAAAATCAGCATGAAATTCAATAAGAACATTGTTGTCTTTAGTTAGTTGAGAAATGCTAAGAAGATTTTTGGCAGTTTGTGGAACAAGTAGAATATTGTTGAGTAGAACAGGATAGGAATGTGAAGAAGATAGTTGTGAGGAACCAATGTGAGAGATAAGAATCTTAGAGCCATTACCCACTGTAATGCCTTCATTACCTTGATAAGGTGCAGAGGTGAGTGATAAGTTTTCAAAATTGTCAGTCAGATGAGTGGTGGCCGCACTGTCAAAGTACCAGTTGGGATCTGAAGTACTGGAGCTTGGAGAACCCGTAGACAATGTGGAGGATTCACCAACATGAGCTTGAGAAGAGGAAAATGCACTTTCCTGGTCTGTAAAACTTATATCAAACCGCTTAAAACACTTTAAGGCAACATGATTAGCCTTACCACACAACTGACACACAACCGATCAGTGTTCTTGTAAAATCGACCACCACGGCCACGATAGTTACGACCACGACCTCTGAAATTGCCGCGAGAGTAAGACTCACGAGTGTTCACAAAGTTAGCAGATTGAACAGATTCAGACACAGTAGAGGAAGTAGCCGGAAAAGCAAGCGGAGAAGAAGAAATCTGACTATTTAGACGCATCTCATGAGTTTGCAAGGAGAATTGAACTTCAGACAAGAAGATAGAATCCAATCGAGATGTGAGATTAACAATAACAGCCTCATAATCAGATCCTAAGCCACCAAGAATGTGCATAGCAAGTTCATCATCCGAAACATGATGTCCAACAGATAACAATTCATCAGCATAAGTGCGCATTTTCAGAACATAGTCATCAATAGACAGATCTCTCTTTTTTAGGGTTTGGAGCTGAAATTTGAGGTGCAGAATACGTGCTTTCAATTGCGTATGAAAAAGTTGAGAAAGTACCGACCAGACAGCAGCAGATGTGGAGCACCGTGTGAGATGACCAAGCATTGGCTCTGAAATCGAAGCTAACATCCAACTAAGGATGAGTTGATCAGTGCGCATCCACAACGTATATGCCGGATTGAGTGTCAGCGGCAGAGAAGCATCTGCAACAGATAGGAACTTCGCCGGAGGAGCAGAGTCGAGCAAAAAATCCTCAAATCCATGAGCGCGAACGGTAGAGAGAATCTGAGCTTTCCAAAATGAGTAGTTTGAGCGATCCAAGCGAAGCGAAAGAGGAACCAGGTGAGGAAGGGAAGACGACGCCTGAAGCAACAGACGAGAATCGGCCATGATTGAAGGCCAAAAGAATAAAATCGAAGAAAAAAATCAAGGCGCCGAAGAAAAGGCTCTTGATACCATGTTGAAGCTCAAGAAATTACAAAAATGGTAAACTGATTTCATTGATGTGCAAGGAGAGATTACATTTACATATATACAAAACCCTTAGCTCACTTAATGAGCAATTATGAGTTGTTATCAACTAACTTGATTAAACCTAACTAACTGCGTAATTATTACTAATTACCTAATTAACCCTAACTGACTGTAACTAAGTAATACCACCAATAACTTTTAATAATTATTATATTAAAAATATCATACTTTCAATAATAATAAATAAAAATATAACATTTGAAAGTACAAATATACATTTTATTCATACAATATAACGGAACGATGGCCCTTTATAGCATATTTATTTTCAAGAGGCATATTAATGATCATAATACTTTTTTTCTAATTAATAGTCCGAGCAACAAGTAAATGCTGAAAATTGTATGTGCATGAATCTGACTCAAACGAATGTATTAATATTTAATTTTAAGCCAGATTAGTTAGATATGTTAATCACTAAGTTAGCAACAAATGCTGGTTCAAAGCATCAACATATTTTAAATATTTATTCCCGCTTCTATATTGTATAGTATAACCATTTTCAGTGTAACCTATCTACCTACCATAATTGTGTGTGTTGAGATTAACCTAGCTATAACTTTCATGCATGAGATGGTCAATCATTGGCTTAATTAAATTAATAAGTTGACTTTTGATCTTTTCTCTTAGAAGGTAATAATTCTTGATGAAGCAGTCATTAGTCATATAGTGCAGACCAACAAATTATCAATCTAACAATGATTTTTCAATAATTCACTTTCTACCTAACAATTAGCCATGTCAAGTTATATATGAAACATAATCCATCACTACATAATACAAAACCAAGTTTACCAAGATCAAGTTAAATTAGACCTTAAACTAGTACTTTTAATATTATATCTAATTGCAGTTTTCCTGTTTAGCCATTATATGTCACAATATTTTGAGCCTCTCATATTTATCTATAATAGTGTGTTAGTGCATGTTCTAAAATAAATAATACACAACTATCATTACATCAATTCATTAAGGACTCTTTTTTAGCCTCTCATATTTAATTGTGTAGTTAATTATATAATTGGCTAAAACATCACATATTCAATAGATGGAATATTTCATTACAAACTTATGTGACACTTGACATTGTCACATTTATTTACATACATATAATATTTGTGTGCGTTTGCACATCTAATTGTGCCTAATGTCTTGCTGACTTGAGAGTAAGTCTTTATCATAAGATCGGGCTGCTGAAGAGTCTTAACTTACTGGGCTACATTTAACGATGATTGTAGCCCAATTTAGTTTCAGGGACTTAATTGGACCAGAAGGGCCAAATTATGCACTTCACTCTTACTGACTTCAAACCCATTTCTCCTTTAATTTAATTATTTATTTAAAAAATACATATTCAAAGTTGTAATTATTTGATTTTCAGTCAAATTGATTGTAAATTTTATAAACCAATATTATTTTATATTTATAAGAAACATAAATTTATTAAAGAGTGTTATATTAGTATCCTCAGTAAAATTAATTCACAAATACTTTTTTAATAAACATATAATTCTATTATATATTTAAAAGGCACATATTTTTCTATGGAATATCTTGAATTTACATGGAAAATTTCTATATCTTAGTATACGTATATCGAGCAAAATCTATCTGTGAATCATGAAAAGAATTATTTCATATTTTATTAGTTATATATTACTGATTTTAATTGTAAGTACACCACAGCTGAATATAATCGATTTAGGAAATAAAATAAAATCATACTTAACATATTAGTAAGAAAAATATGGCACTTTATTATAGGACATTACTAAAATAATGCAAAAGATGGAACCAAAAGAATCAGTTTTTAGGTTTTTAACCATGAAAAAAGAAAGCAATTAATGGCCAGCTCAATGCTAATCTTAAAGAAGAATAAAGAGACGGAGAATATATAAAGCTCAAAAGCATCTTTTATGATCATGTTCATGGTATGTGAACCTTCTTCTTTACTGCTTCACCCTCAATTTCAAATTTTAATTCTGCATATTTAAGCTATAACTGGGATTTGACGTTTGAAAAGCATATCTTATTCACGAATTCGATACGTTTTTTAGATTGCATTGTCAAACTATACCCACAAGTCTCGAGATGTATCAACCGTTAGATCAACTCATATTGAGTTGGTGTGATCTGACTGTTCAGACCTGGATTTAAGCAATCTTCCTATTATTGTGAGCAGAAATCTATACCGTTAGATCGACTCACATCTGTACGAAATTGTTTGTGCGTGTGTTCATACTCGGTTTCAATGCATGATTTTTTTCAAAAAAAAGCCACGAGAATATGGAAAAAAATAATAAGAAAAGAAACTGAAAGAACAAAGATTTTTAGAAGCCTAAAAGACATCCTTTGTCATGAGTCATGACAGATAGATAGATGGGGCATCAAAAAACACCTTTTTTTTTTTTTCATTTTGGCTCTTTTGTAGTATAATTTACTTGCAACTCTTATTTCTTTTGTCTTCGTAAGATAGTATAAAACTAAAACCAACTACAACTTTAATCAAAAAGCTTGAAACAAACACTCATCCCATCACATATCAACATTCAAGATCATCAAGTTTGTTTTTCCAATAAAAGTTGAATAATCCAACAACCCATGGCCTCCCAGCCCAAGAAGCCGAACGACGACTACAAAATCAAGGACACGAAGCCCCAGCTGGGCGAGCGGTGGCCCCGCGGCGGCGGTGGCTGGCTCTCCGGCGACCGTCCCGCCGCCAGCACCTACGACCTGGTCGAGCAGATGCACTACCTCTACGTTCGTGTCGTCAGGGCCCGCGACCTTCCCCCGAACCCCGTCACCTCCAGCTGCGACCCCTACGTCGAGGTCAAGCTCGGCAACTACAAGGGCCGCACTCACCGCTTTGAAAAGAAAACCACCCCCGAGTGGAACCAAGTCTTCGCCTTCTCCAAAGAAAAGATCCAATCCTCTGTTCTCGAGGTGTTCGTTCGCGACAGGGAGATGGTCGGCCGCGATGATTACATGGGTCGGGTCGTGTTCGATTTGCACGAGGTCCCCATGCGGGTCCCGCCCGATAGCCCGTTGGCTCCTTTATGGTACCGTTTGGAGAATCACCGCGGCGAGACGAAGCCCAGGGGCGAGCTCATGCTTGCCGTGTGGATGGGGACGCAAGCCGACGAGGCCTTTCCCGAGGCGTGGCATTCGGACGCTGCCTCGGTGCACGGGGAAGGGGTTTACAGCGTGAGGTCCAAGGTGTACGTTTCGCCTAAACTGTGGTACCTTCGGGTGAACGTTATCGAGGCGCAGGACGTGGAGTCGGAGGACCGGTCCCAGCCGCCGCAGGTCTTCGTCAAGGCTCAACTTGGGCAGCAGGTGCTGAAAACGAAGGTCTGCCCGACCCGGACGGTTAACCCGTTTTGGAACGAGGATCTCGTTTTCGTGGCGGCCGAGCCTTTCGAGGAGCAGCTCGTGCTGACCGTGGAGAATAAGATGAGCAGAAAGGATGAGCTGGCGGGGAGGCTCGTTTTGCCGTTGACTGTTTTCGAGCGGCGGTTGGATCACCGGGCGGTCGACTCGCGGTGGTTTAATTTGGAGAGGTTTGGGTTTGGGGTGTTGGAAGGGGAGAAGAGGAATGAGATGAAGTTCTCGACGCGGGTACATTTGCGGGTCTGTCTCGAAGGTGGGTATCATGTTTTGGACGAGTCGACTTATTATATTAGCGACCAGAGGCCGACTGCTCGGCAGCTGTGGAAGCAGCCGATCGGGATTTTCGAAATCGGGATTTTGAGTGCGCAGGGTTTGGTTACGATGAAGAAGAATAACGAGGGGCGTGGGTCTACCGATGCTTACTGCGTGGCGAAATACGGGCAGAAATGGGTGAGGACGAGGACGATAGTCGGGAGCCTGAGCCCGAGGTGGAACGAGCAGTACACGTGGGAGGTTTACGACCCGTGCACGGTTGTCACGATGGGCGTTTTCGACAATTGCCACCTGGGAAACGGGAACTCCTCTGATAAGGACTCGAGGATTGGGAAAGTGAGGATCAGGCTCTCGACTATCGAGACGGATCGAATCTACACGCACTCGTACCCGCTGCTCGTGCTGCAGCCGAACGGGCTGAAAAAGACGGGCGAGCTCCAGCTCGCATTCCGTTTCACGTGCCTCTCGTTGGCCCACATGGTTTACATGTACAGCCGCCCTTTGCTGCCGAAAATGCACTACGTGCACCCGTTCACGGTTAGCCAGCTGGATAGCTTGCGTTACCAGGCGATGAACATTGTGGCGTCGAGATTGGGCCGGGCCGAGCCCCCGCTGAGGAGAGAGGTTGTCGAGTATATGCTCGACGTGGACTCGCACATGTGGAGCATGAGGCGGAGCAAGGCGAATTTTTTCCGGGTCGTGTCGCTTTTTTCGGGCCTCATCTCTGCCGGCAAGTGGGCTTCGGAGGTTTGCGCGTGGAAAAATCCGATCACGACTTTACTCGTCCACATCCTCTTCTCGATCCTTGTCTGCTACCCGGAGCTTATACTCCCGACGGTTTTCCTCTACATGTTTTTAATCGGGCTTTGGAATTTCAGGGCCCGGCCGAGGCACCCGCCCCACATGGACCCGAAGCTGTCGTGGGCCGAGGCGGCCCACGCGGACGAGCTGGACGAGGAGTTCGACACGTTCCCGACTTCCAAAGCTCAGGATGTGGTTCGGATGAGATACGACCGGCTGAGGAGCGTGGCCGGGAGGATACAGACGGTGGTGGGTGATGTGGCGACGCAGGGGGAGAGGTTACACGGGCTGCTGAGCTGGCGGGACCCACGGGCGACCAGCGTATTTGTCGTGATGTGCATGTGCGCGGCCGTGGCGCTCTACGTGACGCCGTTCAAGATTGTGGTTTTCTTGGCGGGTTTGTATTGGCTGCGGCACCCGAGGTTCAGGAGCAAGATGCCGTCCGCGCCGAGTAATTTCTTCCGGAGGCTGTCGGCTCGTGCTGATAGCACGTTGTAAACGTGCCTGATNNNNAATTTCTTACTATTCAACTTCTTCCAGAGTTCATATCTTGTGATAAAACTGCAAATGCTTTTAATTTCTTACTATTCAATTTCTGAGTTCATAGCTTGTGATAAAACTGCAAATGCTCCCCTCTCCTTAAGCTTGTTATCATGTTCATGAAATCATGTGATGTCTTTAAAGCAGTGGTCTGTTAGTTCTCTTAACAAAGTTTTAAGAGAATACTTGATGCAATCTAGTTGGAAATGAAATAGAAGTCGTGTTCTAAGAGCAAAGGAAACAAAATTCAGGGGACTTGAAAGTTGAAATTATTGTCCGGAAAGTGTAAGGAAAGGTGGCCCAGTTTGTGTGGTGCTACGTTTTTTAAGCTTTGGTTTACAGCTGTAACGCACTAAAGTTTCACAAAATTTCACCATTTCCAACTTCATGTCATTTGCTTCTTGTTATGATTATACATAAATTAAAACTCTGATAATTTTCGATGCTTACAGAAATTTCTATGCTCGGGTTATAGATAGAGCTGTAAAAGAGGCGAGACGAGCTCGAGCTTTTCAGTAACCTTCACCAAATGGTTCATCAATGATTAATATTAACGAGTCAAATTTGAGGCTAAACGACCTGAATTGAGCTACCAATAATGTAAAAAACTCCTATTTTTTAGCCAAACGAAGCACGAACAGCAGCTCAGCTGTACTAGTTATAGAACTTTTGTAATGCTCTGTGGGTCTTTTTTTTAATTGCCCCAAACATGTAGGGTAGTTTGTCTAATCAAGTAAAATGTGCCTTGTGAAAGCCAAAACATGCGTCAAATAAAAGCTAACAAAATCCTATTTTTGGTGCCTTGATTCCAAGGGAGTGTCAATTTTTTTTTTGACTTTTTATGTATTTGTGCACAATTTCTTTACATTTTTTTGGTGGCACTCTAAAGGTCTCAACAATCAAACATCCATTTACATTGTCAATACCAAAAAGAATCAAATCACATGGCACATAAAGAAAAAAAGAGCATATGTTCTTGTCACACAACCTAAAAAGCTAACAAAAATAATCTCCTTTCACATTCATACACAGAAGAAAAAGGAAAAACCAAAGCAAGAATGGCAGCATAAAAAAGATAGACTGGTCCATAAACATAAATTGAATCCAATAACATCCCTACAAAAGTGCCCACACCAGATATCACCATAATAACAGAAAACACCTACCAAACACCCTAAAGAAAGCATTAAAACATGCATAGTTGATAGTTCCCNAAAAAAAAAAAAAAAAAGACATCTTACATTGAAATTTGAGTCCGCAAACCTGTTCTCCAAACGATTTTCAACAATCACAACATGCAATCGGTCCTTGCTGGCAGCCTCCGGAAGAAGTTGAGCGGCACAGATGGCAACTTGTACCTGAACCTCGGGTGCCTCAGCACGTAAAACCCCGTCAAAAGCGCCACAACTTGAAAAGGTGTCACGTAGAGCACAATAGCTGCAATCAGACAGAAAATCACAAAAAGAGCCGTTGCACGAGGGTCCCTCCAGCTCAGCAGTGACTGTAGCCTCTCCCCTTGAGTCGCCAGGTCACCCACAACTGTCTGAATCCGGCCAGCTATACTCCTTAGCCGATCATACCTCATTCGCACGATATCCGCCTGACGAGAAGTCGGGAAGGTGTCGAATTCCTCGTCCAGCTCATCCGGGTGCGCATTATCCGCGCACGAGAGACGGGTATCCATGTGGGGAGGGTGCCTCGGCCGCCACCTGTAGTACCAAACGCCGATCAGGAAGAGGTAGAGGAAAACAGTCGGCAATATCAGCTCCGGGTACATGACGAGTATCAAGAAGAGAATGTGGATTAAGACGGTCGTGATTGGGTTTTTCCAGTTGCAAATCTGGTCGAACCACTTCCCGACAGCAATCAACCCGCCTAAAACACCCATGATGCGGAAAAAATTCGCCTTGCTGCGCCTCATGCTCCACATGTGGGATCCCACGTCGAGCATGTACTCGACGACTTCTTTTCTAAGAGGTGGCTCGGCTCGGCTCAGACGGATCGAGACAATCTGGGTCGCCTGGTGCCTGAGGCTGTCGAGCTGGCTGACAGTCAGTGGATGTATGTAGTGCATTTTCGGAAGCAATGGCTGAGAGTACATATGCATCATGTTCACTAAGGACGAGCAGGTAAATCGAACGGCCAGGTGGATCTCGCCCATTTTCTTCACGCCCGACGGGTGTAAAACAAGGAGCGGGTACGAGTGGGTGTACACGCGGTCGGTTTCGAGAGTAGAGAGTCGAATCCGGACTTTCCCGATCCTCGAGTCACGTCCCGACTTGTCGCCACCGCCTTGCAAGTGACAGTTGTCGAAAACGCCAATCGTGACGACAGTGCACGGGTCGAAAACTTCCCACGTGTACTGCTCGTTCCATTTGGGCGAGAAGCTGTCGATGATTGTCCTCGTACGGACCCACTTCTGCCCGTATTTCGCGACACAGTAAGCATCGGTCGTGGCCCGACCGTCCTTCGTTTTCATGGGCGACAACCCCTGAGCGTTCAGAATACCCAACTCCAAAACACCGATGCTCGATTTCCAGAGCTGTTTGGCCGTGGGGCGGAGATCACTGCTGTAATGGGTCGACTCGTCCAGCACGTGGTACCCGCCCTCGAGGCATACTCTCATGTGGATCTTGCTCGCGAACTTGATCTCCTTTTTCTTCTCGCCCTCGACCATGACGTGCTTCTCGAGATTGTACCACCTCGTGTTGATGGGCTTGTGGTCGAGCCTCCTGTCGACGTACTGCAAAGGGATGGCACACCTTCCGAGGACCTCGTCTTTGTTCGGGGCCACACGGTCCTCCACGCTCAGAATCAACGCCTCTTCAAACGGCTCGGCAGCCACGAACATCAAATCTTCGTTCCACATGGGATTAATGCTCTTGTTCATGGCGACACGCGTCCTCAGAGCCTGATTCCCTAAAATAGCCTTCACGAAAACCTCCGGGAAGCGGGTTTTGTCGCTCGGAATCAAGTCTTGAGCCTCGATCACGTTCACTCGTAGGTACCAAAGTTTAGGCGAGAGGTACACCTTGGATCGGATGTTGGCGAGCCCGTCGGCCCCGCTAACGGCAGCGGCATCCGAGTGCCAAGCCTCCGGGAATGCCTCGTCAGCCTGAGTCCCTATCCAGACGGCAAGCATGAGCTCCCCTTTGGCCTTTTCGTTTTTTCGGTCCTCCAATCGGTACCATTGTGGGGCCAGGGGGCTGTCGGGTGGGACCCGCTTCGGGATCTCGTTTAGGTCGAACAGGACTCGCCCGATGAAGTCGTCCTTCACGAAGTCCTTGTCCTTGACGTTGACTTCAAGGATCGAGGACTGGAGACGGTCTTTTGAGAAGGCAAAGACTTGGTTCCACTCGGGGTTTGACCTTTTTTCGAAATGACGGGTCGTGCCCTTGTAGTTACCGAGACGGACCTCGACGTACGGGTCGCAACTGCCCGTGACGTCTTTACCGGGCAGGTCCTTGGCCTTCACGACACGGACATAGAGGTACTGCATCTGCTCCACGAGGTCATAGGTGCTCGTGAGCTTATCTCCGGTGATCTTGCCGCCACCGAGGTGGGGTTTGGTCTCCTTGAGGGAGAAATCCTCTTGCGGTGGCCTCTGCATTTTTTTTTTTCAAGCCTTCTTTTGCTTCTAAGCCTGCAGGGGTACAAGATGGGAAGAATTGATTAGATTGATATGGTTCTCATGAATCGGGGAAAAAAAGACCACATTGTTGATAAAATAATTTCTATGTTCTTAGATTTCCAATAGACAAAAATTGTGTTATCAGAAGACAGGCTGGCTGGTTTACAAAAACTTCCAAGATTTTATTGTGCATACCTTTTCTTGGTAGAATAGAGAGCCTGGTTAGGAAAAGTCGAGTCAGCACGAAAACAGAATTCAGAGCTTCGGGTGTGTCTATCAATGTCTTACACCTGCAAGCCGAAATCACCCAAAAATTAAACAAGAACAGAAGAAAAAAAAACATCTTCATCATACCATAAAACTTAGATAACTAGAAAATAAACTTGAGCCAAGCATTGGTATACAAACTAAAGAGTGCACACTAAGCTACTCGACAAGAACAAATAGAACCATAAATAAAATATATAAATTTCACTAACTGATATAAATCATTTGGGCAACCGATACAGTATCAAACAGATCAGAAACAAAATCAGAATGAAAGTTAAATGACGAAGTTTAACATATGAATTCAAATAGCACAAAATTATATGAAAATCATATTAGATTTCAGCAGATTTCAATAGTTTTGAACAAGCTTATAAGGTTCCATAAGAACTCACCTACCACATAGAACTTTATTCAGAATTACAAAAAAAAAAAAAAAAAAAAAAAAAAAAAATCAAATCTTATTAGCAATGTGTATATATAATATAGAAAATAAAAACCTTGTGAATAAGAATCTCTCAAGACCACAACTTCAACTCAAATCTCCAGATCTGGGCACACAACGTCCGCAGGAAAAAGGTAAAAAAAACATGAGATCACACACAGCAGCTACAAATTGATCCACAACATACTCACATAACTAATACATATATAAAACAAAAGATCACATCAAACAAGAGCAATATGATGAATTACACAATGTAGAATTCACACAAAAACTTAGAGCAAGTGAGCTACTAACAATAACCCCAAAGAGAGACAAACTTTAAAAAGCAAAGTCTACACAAAAGCCATAAGAAATCAGATCTTTGAACATAAAAAACAGAACCATGTAAGAAAACAAAATCGTATGAAACATCGCAGCCAAATAATGCATCTACCAAGACAAATAGCACACAAACCTCACTTTTCACTTCTTCACACCGTCAATAATATTTTCTGAGCTTATACAGTCAGAATAACTCAAGGACTTTAAATAAAGATATAGAGAAAAAGTAAAAGTGGAGATAAATATGAATATACCTTGAGGCCCATGATAAGGTTCTTCTGAATACAGATTGAAAC